GTAGTCACAACCCTGCAGCGTAACTTACACCCTCATGTATGCTAAACACTTGAAACTCAATGAGAATACTCACATTCATTGAAGACCTATACTAAAAAGCCGGTATAAAGGGTAAATCTCCAAGGTGGCACTGATCGATTTGTACAAGTTAGTCGATATGCCAGATAGGTGGATAGGTAGATAAGGCAAATATCTTTCAAGTATATAGAACCTGTGTACTAGATAGAAGAGATATGTTAGAGAATTCGATGGTAAAAAAAAATATATATAAAAGATCTCAAAATATATCTTTTAAAAAACTCTTACAAATTCTAAAATATTTTTCGTAATTTATAAACTTCGAAGTCCTAAGTACACCGTCAAGAAATTGTCTGATATATCCAGATGTCATCTTAACTAGAGGCATTTTCATATTACGTATATAGGGCCAAATATTTAAAAAATGTCGTTAGAGCCAAATGTTAGTAAATCCAGATGTCGATATGACCAGACGTGTATTAGATTAAATCCCTTACGTTATAGTATCGAGTAATAGGCCAAAAATTGTAATCCAGTCATGAGAAAGAGAATCGAAAGATATTGTCTAAATTTTTTTACTAATAATTTTCGTGGTTGTCGATTTCATTATTCAACTTACTTAACTATAGTCTGAGAGAAAGAAAATAAAGTAGTACCAGGAAAACAGAATAAGAAAATATAGCATATAAGAAACAGTGAAACTTATCTGTAGCCGAAGTCACCATAAAAGATTCAATTCGCTCTAATTATCAGACAAATATACTCTAAAAAAATAAAATAAAAATAACGTGAGTAACTCGCATAATCATAGCACCTTCCTATTAACCATTTGTTGTAGTTTTCGGAACATGAGGGTCTACACAGGGAGGATTGGTAGTCACAACCCTGCAGCATAACTTACACCCTCATGTATGCTAAACACTTGAAACTCAATGAAAATACTCACATTCATTGAAGCCCTATACTAAAAAGCCAATGTAAAGGGTAAATCTCCAAGGTGGCACTAATCAATTTGTACAAGTTAGGTAGATAAGGCAAATATCTTTCAAGTATATAGAACCTATGTGCTAGATAGAAGAGATATGTTAGAGAATTCGATGGTAAAGAAAAATGTATATAAAAGATCTCAAAATATATCTTTTAAAAAACTCTTACAAATTCTAAAATATTTTTCGTAATTTATAAACTTCGAAGTGCTAAGTACACGTCACTGTCAAGAAATTGTCTGATATATCCAGATATCGTCTTAACTAAAGGCATTTTCATATTATGTATATAGGGCCAAATATTTAAAAAATGTCGTTAGAGCCAGATGTTGATACTTCCAGATATCGATATAACCAGGAGTGACAAGTATTAGAATCTGATAGTATTAAATCCCTTACGTTATAGTATCGAGTAATAGGCCAAAAGCTGTAATCCGATCGTGAGAAAGAGAATTAAAAGATTTTGTCCAAATTTTTTTACTAATAATTTTCGTGATTGTCGATTTCGTCATTCAACTTACTTAACTATAATCTAAGAAAAAGAAGATAAAGTAGTACCAGGAAAACAGAATAAGAAAATATGATATATAAGAAATAGTGAACACATATCTGTAACCGAAATCACCACAACAGACCCAATTCGCTCTAATTATCAGACGAATATACTCTAAAAAAAATAAAAACAAAAATAACGTAAGTAACTTGTATTATCATAGCACCTTCCTATTAACCATTGGTCGTGGTTTTCGGAATATGAGGGTCTACACAGGGAGGATTGGTAGTCACAACCCTGCAGCGTAACTTACACCCTCATATATGCTAAACACTCGAAACTCCATGAGAATACTCACATTCGTTAAAGACTCGTAACAAACGACTGGTGTAAAGGGTAAATCGTCTTCAAGGTGGTTCCAATCGATTTGTACGAGATCAGTCGATGTGCCAGATAGGTGGATAGGTCTAGCACATAAGATATAATCGAGTATATAGTGCCTAAATTTATATGCCAAATAGAATAGTTATGTTAAAGAATTCAAATTCAAAATGTATATAAATTAAAAAAAAAACTACTTTTAAAATTCTAAAAATATTCCATAATTCATAAACTTCGAAGTGCTAAGTATACGTCACTGATTATATCGACACCCAAAAAAAAACCAAGAAATTGTCCGATATATCCAGACTTCATCATGACCAGAGACATTTTCATATTAAGTGTATATGTTCAAATTTTTAAAAAATGTCGTTATAGCCAGATGTCGTTTTAGCCAAAAGCATTTTCATATTAAATATGTTATACCTCAGTTGGTGGTATATCCAGATGTCGATATAACCAGAGTGACGTATCTTAGAATCTGGTAGTATTAAATCCCTTACGTTATAGTATCATAATTCGATTATAAAAAAAGAATCATTGTCCAAATTTAATTTTTGTGATTGTCGATTTAACTATAATTTTGTAGTCGAATTCTTGGTTAATTAGAAGCACGAGATCCAGCCGCAATACCTAAAAAAAAAAAAAGATAGAATATTATTGTTTTCATTAGAACTTGTCAATGTTTTGAGTGCAATGGTTTTAGATGGCTCGCGTGCTCTTACATAATTATAATAACCACCATCAACTTTTTGTATGCCATCCAACCAGATTGCTGAATATATTGAGCTGAATCCTCCTTCACCAATTTTCTTAATATCAGATAATCTGTCAAACGTAATCTACTCAATCGCGTCTTCGTATTTTCATGCTCTAAGTTGGAATTCTTTCATAGGATCACATGAAATACACCATGCTCGTTGCGTGTTATTTTCATTACAATACGCACATTTTTCCATATTCAGAGTTGCTACATAATATATAATATTTTTATTTCATCTGCAAATAGTACCAGAAAGACAAGAAAAATATATTATACAGTATAAGAAATAGTGAACACTTATCTATAGCCGCAACAATTAATTCCTTATTCTTTTTATCATCAGAAAAGAAATAATATAGTTCTGAAGATCGAAAATCAACTTTAAAGGAATTAAATATTAATACTTCAGATTGTGCATCTGTTACGCCAGTGACTTGACCATCAAGTTCAAGTTTGGAAATGGGAAGCTTTTCAGTTTCATCTCGGAAAAGGTAGAGTGTCTTGCCGCAAAGTTCAAAGAAACGACGTTCAGGTACGCGACATATCACTAGCGGCTAGTAGAATGAAAAGATTATTACAAAAAAAAAAAAAAAACCAAGTATGAAAGAAATAGTTTCGAAATTTTCGAAATTGAAATAACATGCGTAAAAGAATGAGTTTTTTTTTAAAAACTTCGAGTTTTTTTTATTGATCTAAAAATCCCTTTTTTATAGAGCGTAGGTCTCTATACCAAAAAGGGGTACAACTAAAAGTATGATTTAGATGTTGATATATTACAGTATTATGATAATGCGTTGAATTTCCATGTCGGGTTATCTACCACATGTGGTGGTACAACAATCGGTTATACGATGAGCAGGGGTGAACGTCCCATCAATTTGAAGTTGGCACTTTTGCCTAAAACAGCTAACTAGTGCGTGCTATCTAATTTCAGGGGCTAATTTCAGTTAGGTGCAACTTCAGGCACCTACTTCAACTTCAGTCACGACAGTTACACGATTGAGAACTAATTTTTTACAATAAAGACTCGCGAAACTATTGAACCTAGCTGCCGCACCAAAATTTCACGGAATTCCTCGATTTTGATTGGCTAAGAGCGACGATCAATAATTT